GTCTCTATTGATAACTTTATTTTTATTGATTTGGAACGAGAACTTTCTTGTCATGTGATATGTTTGTTTGTTTGTTTGATTCACTTGACTACAAGGTTTCTAGAAATTCCTTAACTGCATTTTTTGGTGTTTCCTCTGCTTAAAATTTCTACATTCTTCCAATCAGATTATTGTTCGTAATTATCTACGTGCATCGATGTCAAAGAATATGCATCATGTCATTATACAGCCAATTTGTGGTCTTCGGTTCGGATTCCAAGGGGATGCCCACTTTGACCGATGTATTGTTTATTGTAGTTGATGCATGCAATTTATTTTAGAAATGTTATCAATTTTATCTTCTTTTTCTGTTGGATCTTTCTGTCTGCACAATATCGAATGAAGTGATTGTGCTGGCTTGTGTATTATTGTATTATTATTATTGTTTCCTTTAATTCCTACAGGAACATAGGACTTCAGCAGTGCGTCTCCATTGCGTTCGGTTCTCTGCTAGAGTCTTCACCTGGCTCCAAGTCTGCCCACATGCTTTCATCTCCTCTTCACATCACCTCCTCCAAGTCATCCTCGCACTGACGACCAACTCGCCGCTTCCCTTTCGGGTTCCACTCGAGCAATGGCTTGTCTAGTGATGTCACTTGATGGTTTCCTCAGAGTATGGCCAATCCATCTCCATTTCTTCCTGCCTATTTGTTTCACAATCGGTTCCTGCTGGGTTGGTTCGCTCATTGTCAGAGATCTCTGTTGCTGATCTTTTCTGGCCGGCCATCTGATCTTGAGTATTGAGCGAAGACAGAGCTGTTAATGAAGGTCTGTAGTTTGTTTGAGATGCTCTTTATGACGCGCAGTGCAAGTCTCTGATCCGTATAGTAGCACTGACTGACTTCACATTGGAGTTGAAAATCCGGATCTTATTTTTGATGCTGAGTGCTGTTGACCTCCACACAGACTTGAGAGTAGTGAAAGCTTGTCTTGCTTTTCCAATTCTTGCTTTGATATCCTCGTCAGTTCCGTCTGTCTGTAGTTGAAACGATGCTTCCCAGGTGGGTAGGTAAAAGAGGTTGTTTCTTTCAGGTTCCTCCCATTTATGCTGATTGTTCTCTGTTGTTGTTGCTGTTGGCGGTGTTGCCCAGTAATCTTCATCACCTCTGTTTTCTCTATGTTCACCTGAAATCCTCTCTTCTCTGGATGGTTCTTCTGCCAGCTTGTTGCTTTTCGCTTGCATATCTTCCAGTTTGTGGTAAATCAGACAAATATCATCATCAGCGAAGTTCAGATCCTCCAAGTTTTTTGTGTGAGTCGATTCTATGCCTGTTTCCTTATTGCTTGCTCTTTATCGCATTATCCAATCTACTGCAATCAGGAAAATCATTGGGGATAGTAGGCAGCCTTGTCTTACTCCTGTCCTCTCTTCAGAGGATTCCGTAAGTTTCCCGTTGTGGATTACTTGGCATGCAGCATTGTCGTACAGCTGTTGGCTTGTGTACTGTATCTATTTCAAGCAGTCTTAATAATCTAGCTGTTAATTCAGAGATATTTTTTTATACATAGTAGGGTAAATTTCCCTATGTTCTTTGATGTTGGCTTGTTATTGGTGTTATGACTCGAGTTTAAACACTTTTCGATGAAATTGTGAAGATATCCATCCTGTTTTAGAGACTCTTAGTAGGTATTTTTCCCCCAATCTCTACAACACTGGAGAATTAGAGTGTGTTTGAATCCTTTTAAGCAATTTCTGCACATAGTTCCTTTTGTGAGTCATTGGGTCTCTGTGCATTGATTTTCTGCATACTTTTGTTCATTTCATATTAAAACCTGAGATGAAGATGTTGTCTAGAAGGTTAACAACGAAAACTTCGTAATTAAATCAGTCAGCTCAGCTCAGAGAATACACCCAAGTTAAATCTTTTCCATTAATCCTAAACTCTTGCTACATAGTCTCCGATTCAGCTATTTCTCTTAAAATTAAACGATGAAATAAAACTGTAGCGAAATGAACAACACAGTTGCATCAACCAGCTAAGTGACAATCAGTTACAGGATTACATCATGAGCTGGGAGTACTGGACAGCTGTTTCGTCCTAGTTTGGGACTATTCATCAGTATGCACCCACTACAAGGGGCTCGAACCTAGGACCTTCTGGTTACAAGGCGAGCTAGCTCATAGACTATTAATCCAGTGGGCCAGTCCATGAATTCCAACTTCTTCCAATTTATAATGTGGTGTGACTGGCACTAGCAAATGTCGTCGAGGGTGGGTATTTGTCCTCACACCCAACCTGCTGCACCCTACTGGTCACGACTTACCACTTGAACCGAGATAACTACTTACACAAATAGTGCCAGTCTCTAGTGAGCATCTCAAATCAAAGAAACCCCTACAAACTAATGCTTGAATAAGTTGTGGTGAGAGCTAGCTGCAAGCAATAAATTGTAGACAGCAATTAACGTCAATGTTACGTCCCAAATTGATGTCATAAGGAAAACAACAGCCAAGCTTAACCTTGAGGAACACACCAGCAAGTCACAGCAGACTTAACGTGTGCAAATACGATTCGCAAATATATGGCTTAACTTTCTGAGAAACGGTCACAAGCAGTACGGAATAACTTTCAGCCAGGAAACAACCAATCAGAAGACGTTGCTTCTCCGCTGACAATGATGTACATAAAAATCTATGAACATCTCTTAATTTTCTCAATAAACAATATGTTGCTTGGCCCTTGTCTTCTGTCGTTACATTTGGTGTCTCTGCCTGTCGAGAAATGGAAGTCCCATGGCCTGCAGTATATAAAAAAGGAGACATACTGATTTTATTGAAGGACTTCAAGGCTGTTGCGGAGTTGAATGGCGTGCAAGAGCCGTCAGCGAAGACGCTTTTACTTGGAACGCTGCTGAGAGGTCGAGCGAAGGCAGAATATGATAGCGTGAGGCGAACAGAAGGTCAAGCAACTTGGAAGTCAGTAGTTGAACGCTTGAAGAAGGAGCTTGACAGCGCGATGGACAGAGAGCGGGCGATGCAGCAGTTTCAGGCCACGAAGCTGGGAGTTGACGGTGATCCTCTTGTACTGGCACTGACCTTGAAAAACCTACTGCGTCGCGCGCTGTCAACAATGGAAGAAGATTCTGAGGCGCAAATGTTGGCGTCTCATTTTATGGAGAGTGTTCCAGAACACATATCTTAGCAACTACATCTGTCGTTACAAAGTGACAGCCGAAATTACCTGATCGATGAATACCAATTAATGCCACGTAAACTGTATGAAATGTTTAAGTATATCAATGACAGTTATAAAATATTGTCAGTGACAGTTAGGCGAAAGAGGAAATGTGATTGTGTTAGACAAGGAGAAGCTGATACCTGAATGGTCGAATTCCTGACTTGATAAAGGAGCTTTATTTTCTAATTAATTAACTGAAATCAACTGCTTATGGCTTTGTTATCATATTGTGTTTGGCCAATTTTAAGTTTCCTGAACAGCAACAATTCAGTAACAAAAGGCATAGATAAAGAAGGATATCAAAGGGCAGAATCCGAGAGAGCAACAACAGGCGTTCACTACTATGCAACAGCTTTGGAGATTCATAGTACTTAGTATGAAGAAATAACATCTAACGTTTATGCACTAGTGTTAAGTCAGTGTATCTATACGCTTGAGAGGTTCAAGGCCACAAGAAAAGCATCTTCAACAAACTGCTGGGGACTTTTATCAACATCTGCCTCCTTTGGTAGACACTGAAAGTCAGATGGTCAGCCAGAAGGGATAAGCAGTAGGGAAATCTGACTGCTGGGGAGATTGTTAAGTGACATTACACTACAGGCTGTCGAATGGAACTCGAATAAGTAGCAACCAGTTAAGCGTCCATGGGTGACACGAAGGATATCATATGAAGGAAGAGGAAATGAAACTTGTAAGCAGTATTAGAGTCAGCTTAGAATGACAACAGGGAACTGAGTGAAATGCAGATGTTTCTCTGAGGCCTAACGGAACGCGTAGAATGGCTAATAATAATGACGAGTAATAAGAAGTATTCGCCAATGAAATTGGCAGGTGCCAGTCACGCCAAAACGGTGGTAGCCCATCGAGTTGGCTCCGCATGGCTAAAAGGTCAAAAAGCTTGCTGTGTGATCGGTGGGTCAGGGGTTCGAACCCCGGCATATGTATGCTGCTTAAAAGTCCCAAACTAGGACGAAACACCAGTCCATTAACGATAAACATAGTGTTTCTGCATTCGCATTCATTCACCAGACAGAGTAGAGTAAATATCCAATTCACTTAAGACTGCTCACATCAAAAGCAATTGCTTATGTGACAGCTAAGTTTATTTGTTTGGAGGATTTCATCATGAGCAGACATCAGTTAGAGAACCATTGGAAAACCAGCAGGGAGTACTGGACATCTGTTTCACGAAAATTGATCTGATGCTCACTAGCGACTGGCCCTATTCAGGTAGTTAGTTACCTGGGGTTCTAGTGAGAAGCCATGACCAGTAGGGTAGAGCAGGTTGAAGATGAGGCAGTAACTCATCGAAGAAGACATTGCTAAGTGGACGTGCTATGCTGTGAATTGGCAGAAGTTAGATTTTATGGTCCGCTGGATTGGGTCCTAGTGGCTTAATGTTCTACGAGATAGCTTGCCTTGTAACTAGAAGGTCCTGGATTCGAACCCTCCGTGATGGTGCGTACTGATGAAGAGTCTCAATCTAGGACGAAACGGCTGTCCAGTACTCCGCGCAGGTCTTCCAATATGTTCTTTCACTGATGTCAGCTCATGATGATGAAATCCTCCAACCAATCAAACAAAATCCCTACAAAACCAATACTTGAAAGCTAAGGGTTATTGTTTACAATATTAAAAGAAAGAAAAACACATAACCACTGATTTTAATTATACCTACCTGATTTCTTGAAATTTGATTCATTGTTGGACTGTATTATTGTTATTATTGTAGGCCTTCTTTAAAACCTGCTGATAATTAGACGCATCATAATTGCCATTTACCAATTTTTCATTTAACATCTTAGCTGATAAACTTGTCCGTTTGATTCTGCTTTCATTCTCTTTCAAGTGGCTATAACTATTACTACTGCTACTACTGATATTATTATTAGGAGTACATGTTCCGGTAACAGAAGAATTCCAAGCATACTGTTGTTGTTGTTGTGGATGCTGCTGCGGGTGATGTATACTTTTACCAGTCTCTAAAACAGAACGTATTGTAGGCCCCGCCAATCGGGTTGAAGTAGCACTCTTTTGTTGTGAATGTTTCTGTTTATTATCAATCAGCTTTTGTCGATAATTCTCAGCATTTGATTCAAATAGAAGACAATTCTGATAAGGTGATCTATTGATTGTTAGAATATTTTCATGATTACTTTGTGATGATGATGATGATTTTATATGAACACTTTGTGCTGATTGTAGGCATTGTTCTGTACGTGATTTATTCAGATAGAGTGTGCGTTTCTTTCGTGGAACAGGTTGACTTCTCTCTGATTGACAATTTATACTTTGTGTTTGACATGAATTTTCAATATTTTCATTTAATGTCCGATTACGATGATGTTGATTATGATGAGGATGAGGATCGAATTCAGGAGTTGGACTAGGTGTCTCCGAATTCACTGATTGTCTTGTACGACTAAGTCTTAGTGTACTTAAACTGATATGATCTTTCCTAGGGACTGTTAAAAATCTATGGTATTGTTCACTATCATTGGGATTAATATGTCCCGATGAGAAACGTATAAAAAATGGTGAGGCGTGATCAAGTAGAGAGGATTTATTTGATCGATTGATTGATTTATCAAGCATACTGTTAACTCTTAGATCTATATTTGAAGAAGTGATATTATTATCGTCAAGTCTACCTGATCGTTGGTCGATTCGGTTCGACTCGTTGGGATTCCATTCTGGTTTTTCAGATGAAGGTGATGTAACCGGTCGAGTACAGTCTGAATATCTGTGTACAATTCTGTCATCCACTTTTGTTATTTCATTGTCATCATTCTGATGACGTGCTAGTAGATTTTGTATAATAGCGTGTATATTCGCTCGAGCATTTGTTGTTTGGTTGTCCCCATCGAACAATTACTAGTCTGTGGCATAGAACATGATGTTGTTCCATCGACATCTTGATGGCTTTGACTAGCTTCTGTCACGCTGACAGTTGAATTTTTCAGAAATCCAGTAGCTTTGGTATTCGATGCCAGCGCGCGTTCTGTACAATTGTTTCGTATAGGTTTGGCATCTGAGGTAAAAAAAATAGGGAAAGAATTAGAGGGAATTTTCGATGATCAGTTTTAATTGTAATCACTTTCCAAAATAAGCATAATAGTAATAATAGTAATACTGGACAGCTGTTTCGTCCTAGTTTGGGACTCTTCATCAGTACGCACCCACCAGGATTCGAACTCAGGACCTTCTGGTTATAAGGCAAGCTACCTCGTAGAACAATAAGCCATTGGGACCCGATCCAATGGCCCATGAATTCTAACTTCTGCCAATTCACGACATAGCCCGACCCCTAGCCAATGTCTTCGGCGAGTATTTGTCCTCACACCCGACCTGCCGTACCCTACTGGTCACGACTTCTCACTAGAACCCCAGGTAACTACCTACCTGAATAGGGCAAGTCGCTAGTGAGCATCTCATTGATAGTCAAGTGTTGGTTTGTAGGGATTTGATTGGTTACAGGATTTTCATCATCAGCTGACATTAGTTAGAGAACCATTGAAAATCCTGGGAGTACTGGACAGCTGTTTCGCCCTAGTTTGGGACTCTTCAGTAGTACGCACCCACCAGGATTCGAACTCAGGACCTTCTGGTTACAAGGCAAGCTACCTCGTAGAACAATAAGCCACTGGGAACCGACCAAATGGCCCATGAATTCTAACTTCTGCCAATTCACGACATAGGTTTTCCAATGGTTCTCTAACTAATGTCAGCTCATGATGAAAATCCTGTAACCAATCGAATCCCTACAAACCAATACTTGAATAGTAATAATAATTTGCTTTATTCCAGAAACAGTACTAGTGGTACAGTGTGGAATTTTCAGCACATATCTACAATATTTACACCTAATTTTATGAAACATTTAAAAGGACTACTTCAAAAAATAAATATAAAGACAACAACAACAAAAAAACAAAAAAATAATTTTTGAAAAAAAATGCGGAAAAATATCAAGAAGTAGAAAGGAAAATAAACAACATAAAATAATACCTCAGGATTGGGTAGTGGAAGCCATTATATGATTATGCATGGTGATCGTAAAGCTGTAGTCATACAAGAAGTTATGAAATGATATTTAAGAATGTTTATCTTCAAGATGATCGGTTAATTTGGTTGAAACAACCCTAAACAATCATAAAATAACATTTCAGGGTTTGTTGTTTTGTTTTTTATTATCAGGTCTAATGCAGTGTTTGTAGTGGTAGTGTGAGTAATCCTGAATAATACAAAATTTGAAGATGGTGATAATGGCGTTCACAAACAAGATTGTCAGTTAATATTGCCGAAAAACAAAAAAAACAACCACAAAACTAATAATTACGTGATGGTTAATGACAGGACAATTTTGTAGTACTCATAGTGCTAATATAGTCGGAACCAGTAGATACACAAAAGAAGGAATAGGATAAAGTAGAAAAAAGTAAGCCAATGTTAATATTTCAGGTAGCTAAGTATGTTTAAGGTGTTCATTATAGAATACAAAATAAGAGAGAAATAAAAGAGCCTAAAATTATGTTGTTATAACAAAGCAAGTCATAGGTTTCACGCTTAACATTGTCTCTGTCACTTAGAACACGGGCCAAATATGGTATCGTTGAGTTCCTGTACTTGGTTGTACGAGCATAAATTATTTTATACTGATTTCTGGTTTTACTTGATGAGATACAAGGCGACAGTTGGGAATAGAGGGGGTGTTATGAGTCGGAGAGTATGGTTTTAGACCATTTTTCACATGTATTCAGATGCCTTTCAACTAATGTAGTGACGAGCTGACTGAGTTTTACACCACTAGTCCTACTAACTACCTTCAACATCCTTCTCAGGATGGTATAGTCCTTTTTCAGTAGACCAGGAAAGACTAACGGGGAGCAGTAAAGTAGAATAGGTAAGATACAAGAGTTGACAAATTGTGAAAGTAGAGGTTAGGTGATTCCAGATTGTCTAAGTTTCTTAATGTAGTAGGTTAGACAGAACACTTTCCTAGAAATCGTTAGGATATGAGATGTCCAAGTAAGGTCGGAAGATAGAACTACACCGAGGTATTTTGAGGTAGACTTAGTTTCAATTTTAGTATAATTTAAAATCATTTAACTGTTCGCGCGAAACATGTAAGCTTCACGAGTTGGAACGATTCAGAGACCTATTTGTCTCACTTCTCCACTCAAATTATAACTGTCGTGTTGTTGACACGTTTTCCCAGCCGGATAGTTAAACTGCTAAGTTGTCTTCATTTTGAACCATGCGGTTGGGAAAGAGGCATTAACGTCGGAGTTCCACCTTGAGTCTGTAGACTACTACTAGTTCGAACTAGCAGAAGGTAGGCGTCTACTTTGAACTATCTTGCCAACCAGATTCTCATCTCACCGCCTCAAATCATAATAATAATAATAGTTTGCTTTGTTCCAAAACAGTACTTGTGATACAGAATGGAATTTTCAGCATTTTTACTACAGTATTGCATCCATTTAGTACATTATCAATAAATAAAATTTTACGTAGATTAAGGTAATCTCAGTTCATTGTGACAGCAACATATTGGCATGTCGGTAGCAAAGCCAAATTTGAACAATGTGTTTGAAGGTGTTAGAAAAGTAGATACTAGTATATTTACTGGCGTAAGCGGTAACAAAAAGGTCGAGATATACAGAGTGTGACAGAACGAAGAATAATGTTTTAAGTACATATTATAAGGAAGAGAGAAACAAAACAGCACATAACAGATAAAAGAGGAAGAGAAAAGGAAAAGAAAGAAGGAAAACGTTGTACATATAAATGACATGAGTTGGAAAGACGAGATCCAACTGTTCTACTGACTATTTAATAAGTTATAGGTATCACGCCTAGTGCTTTCTTTATCGTATAGAACACGAGCCAAGTAGGGTATGGTTGAGTTTTTGTACTTGCTAGTACGAGCATATAGTTTTCTATATAGGCTTCTGGTCCTAAATATAAACCGAAAACATTTAGTAGATTTGGAGACTTAACAGCGAGTTCAACTCATTAGGTGAAAATCATAAGCAAAACAAATGCACACGAGCAAAACAATTATGGTTACCAGGATAGTGATAGATTAGTCACACTCTGTCTGTATACATAATTTGGGTCAAAGTCTTTTGATGTCAATGGCTTCTGCTTCAGTGTCTGTAAGTATGGTATGTACTTTGCGCCGTGCATAGTACTGTTACAAGATTGGCAGGAGCCTGTACCTGCACTCACTCTTGCGGGTGAACCGCTTGAAGTTGTTGATAAGTTTATGTATCTGGGTAGTTGTGTGAGTACTGGCGGAGGGGTAACGGATGAGATTTCCAACCGTATGATGAAGGTTAGGGTGGCATACATAAACTTCAGCCAACTCTAGCGCCGCCTCGACGTTAGTCTAGCTGCCAAAGGCCGGGTGTACAATGCTTCGGTGCGGGCTGTCTTGCTCTGCGCCTGCGAAACCTGGCCTCTCCAAGCTGAGGATGTGCGGTGGCTCTGCGTGTTCAATCATCGCTGTCTCCGAAGGATTTCTTGCGTTCGATGGCATCGTCAGGTGAGTAATTCTGAGGTTCGGCAGCGTGTGTCTGAACACAGTGGAGATCACCATTCACTGAGTGTCGTCATCTGGAAACACCGGATTCGGTGGTTGCTTAGATCTGTGCTGCGAATGTCAGCTCAAAGGCTTCCGTACAGGTCTCTGTTCGGGACGGGTTGGAAAAGGCGGAGGGGTGATCAGTCCATGATGTGGCGTCGTGGGATGAAGGATGTTTGTGCTGGATTAGCATCGGTTGGTGCGTCACGACTCCTTGGTTGGGATCCGCGAGATAGCCCGAATCGATGGCTCGAAACGTTATCGAATATGGCCAAGAATCGTAATCAATGGCGAACGTGTTGCAATTTCCTTCTTTCTTCCCTTCTCGACGATAGTTGACGAATGCTGTTTGAACTTGTTAAGTATGACTGTTTTCCTTCCAGATGAAGTTCTTTACCCGTTCTCTACTTATATTTTTTACTTTTGATCTTTGTTCTTTTATTATTATTGTGTGCATCTTTCTTGGTGCCATGTTGTGCCAAGTTTTTTTTCTGCGTTTAAATAAATAAATAAAATATAAATAATGGCTTCTGCCAACCGAAGTAACTACGCTCTTCTTTGTTTATTGATTATTTTGAGAGCCTAACCAGTTGGCATTATATGTCCCGAATCAATCAGGTTTCTGGTAATTGCACTTGAGAACACCTTGCTGCTTTTCAAAGCGAGATTTTTAGGGACATGCTCAGAAAATCTAATAGATGCTCTCCTCAAAGTTCTCCCTATATAGTTGATGCTGTAAATGCAAGTGAATTGGTAAATGCAGTTGCAGTTGACATGAGCAGAATACTTGTCGACTTTTGATTGAACTAAAAACCATACCGTGATGATTTGTTGTTTAGGATGTACACACCTTCAGAAGATCCACAAAACAGAATGAACTTATATTATCCCGCAAATATAATCGTTTTTTAATTTCCAGCATTTTTATATTACAATACTTTATCCCCTTTACATAAATTTCGATTTCTCTGTGTTCCTAGTGGAATACAAAGCTTCAAGCGGTGAACTTTGAAGTTTCATAAGCAGTGGTGTTTATTTTTTTTAACCAGGTGGGGTCGTCCACCTCACGACATCTAGCCCTTCTAATAGGCTTACTACCAGATAATCTATGTTGGTGAGTACTTCAGCGTCCTGGGATTAAACAATGAACCAGGCAAGGTGTGGTTGGTGAGCCACAGACGTACATAACTAGAAAGAACAAATTCCTATGAAATTCCTTATGCTTTCCCTTAAAGTGTTACCAGAAGAAGAAATGTGAGAATAAAAAGGGTGTTCAGTATCTGACGTTTCTCTAGCGGTTTAAAAGATTTAGTGGTGTGGGGTTGCTAGCCCCACGCTCAACCCTCCATCTTTACCCGGAATTCGAACCGGCTAGAAAAATAGCGAGCTAGTTAACAAGGCGAGACGTACCTCAAGTCTTTGTCAACTTCGTCCAACAGCCG